CATTCTAAAATAGGTTTTGGTCATAAGCCAAAAATAGGATTTAAATATTTACCTAAAATACTGATACCATAGGCATTGCAGTATACAGAAGTTATTTACCCTGCAATGGACACAGGCTACTGTAAACATTTCTTTTCTTGGGTTGTTTTGGGCAAAAAGCCAACAGCACAGTGGTTTGGAATCCTGAATGAGGTAGAGATGGAAGTGAGGGTGACAAATTCCTATAATTCTGAATTCCTACAATTAAGGAAGACAAATTTCCCCACTTGGATTCTTTGGACCAGGGCTGGCTTTGTTTACTATTCCAGATCAAAGAGAGAGACTGCACCAAAGAATTTCTGTGCTGCGTGAACCAGTCTGTCCAATCACTCATGATGGATGAAATTTCCTGTGTTTGTTTTTAACAAAGTCGTCTTCGTTATAAAAGTACATCTCTGTTTCCCCAGAGGACTAGTTAATCAAGGTAGATTGAAGGTGTCCAGAATAAAGCATTTATTCAGCTGGCAGAAAATGCACCAGTTAGGTGTAGGAGCCCTGGACATAGGCTCCCTGGGCTGAAGCTTGGTTCTCCAGCCCCATAATGACACCACATTGCCAGTCACCACAGGAGGCAGTAGTATTACCAACCCCACTTCATAGATCAGAGGCTTAGACACTGGTGGGTTCTATGCCTCGCGTTTTACTTGGTATCTAGCACAGAGTAGTCACTCAGTAGAAACTGGCTGTTTTCGTTAGAGTGTGTGGAGGCCGCAATCTGGTGGATGTAGAGGTCACTTCCTAATGCTCTCTGGGAGGCAAGTCCTGCATTCCGTTTGTGTGCAAGGCTTTCCACGTGTGGGTCGGTGAGAATATACTGCTGGTCTGACATCTAGGGTGTAATTATGTAGGGCAGCCCAGGAAATGTTTGCTGTGTGGTATGACTCTGTTCTTAGGGACTGTTTGCTGAAAATTTGTTAGCTCTACTTGGTGTCCTACCTTAAACCAAGAATGGAGTTACCTTACCAAAGTTAATTATTTGGTGCCATTTCCGGAGAGCTTGGCCTTCCTGGTCTTTGATGTTTATTTGTAAGCATTTGTGATCACTTGGTAGATAATCCTGTTTACTGGCCTCTGTAGGGCAAAGTGTGACATCTTTGATCTCTTCAGTTTCCTGCCTACCACAAGAGCAGGTCCTTTGAGACTCTGGGGTTGGGTTCTCTTGCTGCAAATACTAATGTATTCTACAGAAAGGAAGAGGTGTGGACTCTAATTAAGAAACCACTTTGCTTTATTTTACATGAAAATTTCTGAAAAAATGCTGGGGAAGTCTTTTATTTTTCTTTAGAATTTTAAGAAACATCTAATTTATTTTTGAATGCTACATTAAATGTATTTTATTACTTTATAAAGAAAATTAAGCTGCTTCAAGACAAGAAATTTGAATGCTTAGGACTAGATTTAATCAGTGGAGAATTTGTTTCATATATTGAGATCGTTATGAATTTCTCTAAGTGTAGAATCATTGCTGTTTTAAAGTCATTTCTACTAAAGTACAGTTCATATTAATTCCACCAATTTTTGCTTTGTAGAAAAGGTTGTATTTGCATCATACTGTGGTAGCTTGCAGCTGAGTGGAAAATTTTATAGAGATAAGAAACAGCTGAAGTGCATGCCTAATAAATTATGAGAATAAATGTAGAATCAAGAAGAGATAGCCATGTAAAGTGTATAAAAATATCACATCCCAAGAGGAAATATTTAGGTTTATTCAACATCACATTTGTTTTCCTTCCCCTTGGGCTTCCCTATTTGTGTCATTTTATTAAAATTTCAATTTACATACATTCTGATAATTTAAGGAAAGAGTCAGACATAAAAGATGGTTAATGAGACCTTGCCCTGTAAACAAGCAAAGTCTTGCTAAACATAGTCTAAATGATGAACAGCCATGAGTTTGACAGCTATAATGCACTTGAAAATTTCTCTGATAATATTACAAACCAGGACAGAGAAATGGAGCATATGGTGGTATCATTATAACAGCTGAGCTAAATTCAAGTCGTTGTGGTGGTGGTGGTGGTGGTGTGTGTGTGTTTGTGTGTTTGCATATATGCTAATTTATGGCTCTGTCTTTAATGTTTATCCTATTATCTTCTGTTTGCCTCTACTGCTGCATGCACAGTGACTCTTCCTCCTTCAGTAGTTCTACCTCCCCTGAGTTTAGGTGCTAAGGAGCAGATGCACCTAGCTGTGGGCAATCCTGGCCAAATCTGGCAGTACTTAATACCAGCTCTGTCTCCAGGGGATCAGAAGGGTAAACCAGCAGTTCTAAAACACGGTCTTGACACCAGGAGCATCAGCATTTCCTGGGATGTGGTAGAAATGCAAATTCTCAGGCTTCCACTTTCAGTTTACAGCATCAGATCCTTGGGCAGCTACCCAGCAATCAGAGTTTTAAGCACCCTTCCAGGTGTTTCTGATGCTTACTCAGGTTTGAGAGCCAGGAGTTTTGTTCTCACTGCCCTCTCTTCTGTCTGCCTGCCTTGACTTTCTAGTCTCTCCATATCTATGAACTTTAGTTTTCTCACTTTGATTTCCTCCTTGATGGGTGTCTGGTCTCTCTAACTATGTTTTTGCTGATTTCAGATTTACATTCTAGTTGCCAGCTGAGATTACCATTTTGCCCATGGACTGAAGCCCGGTCAGTTCTTTTCTTCAAATACTACATCCCAGCCTTGCCAATACTCCTCTCCTTCATGGGTGGTGGCCAAGTTTGAATCAAATGAACCATTTGGAGGCAATTCCAACGAAGCATCTCCATCATCTAGTAACTCCACGCTGTGCCCAAGGCAGGCAAGGATAACACTGGCTGAGGTTGACCTCCATACACCTCTCCTTGGACGCTGTGTCACATTATTATTCTGTATAATTAGACTCTGCCTTAAAACATGGATCTAAATGTCTAAACTGTGTAAAGTACCATTATTATACTTTCCTATCATTGGGAACCAGCTAGCAAGAAGCTACATAAATTATGACACCTGTTGGAAGCCAACTGCTGCCTTTGGGAAGAGCTATAGAAGATGCAGGATGAAACATGTTGCTGATGTGGGGACAACTTCACGTGAAGAGAGTAAAGAACAAGTTATATTTGATTACTTTAAGAAAATCTTGACTTCTGTCACTTGTGTTCTAAATATTCTAATTTATATGAGAGGCTGGGGATATAGCTCAGCGGCATAAGCGCCTGCCTGGCAAGTGCAAGGTCCTGAGTTCAATTTCCAGTACAAACAAACAAACAAACAAACAAAAAAACTAACACTAATTTATATGAGAAGGTATTCGATTCTTTTGTGGGTGGTGGCATCCTCTAACCTTGGCTTTCCAAGCCCTCATTTTCCCACACAGGGACCCAACTTACTGAATTTTATTTTCCAGAAACTTGAGTACAGCATGATCTTACTACCATTTACAGGAGATCTGTTGCTGTACAGTTTAATGCAGTATGTGTGCTCATCCATAGGAGCCTACGGGTAACCCACTGTGAAAGAAATTGCAGGCCACCTTTTATATGGGTAGAAAATAATTCAACAAGCATTTGTAAACACTCTCTATTCACCTTTAGTCAAAGCCCTTTTGTGTGTTTAGCAATATTCATCGTACTTTGAGAAGTCCTTTTTCCTTGAATTTGATTTAATGCGTAGCCACTTGGCCTACTTTAAGTGTAAGCTTTCTTATATTTAATGTGTGAGGCCTGCTTATTCTTTCTCTTTATCAAATGGACAGAAAATTATTTGTAACTTCTTAACAAAAACATTTAGGGTTGTGGCTCTCTGCATTTAATTTTTCACGAATAACTTATTCAACCCTATTATATGCCAGGCCCTATAGTAGATGCTGGAACAACAATCTTTGCAAGAATCTTCTTGGAAGTCTTTTTGCAGTTAGGTTAATATTTTCCTGGCCAATGAGGTAGCTATGGATTTGTCTTAGAGACTGGGCAGGAACTTCAGAGGGGCTCCCTGATCATCAAGATGTATGGGTTTGGGAAAGAAATGTGATTTTTCTAAATCATTGTTTTTCTAAATCATTTTCACTTCTGGGAAGTGAAAATGAGAACTCATATCACAGAAACATTTAAATAAAGATAAAAACACTCTGTAATAGATTTTCCCAATTGGCACCAGCTATCCATTTTTTCTCATCATCTGCTACCTCTATACCTCAGGTTTATAGCAATCAGTTTTCAGGCATTGCTTATTAGAGGATCCCTGACTGAAGCCTTGGCCTCCTTTTCCTGTGAGAAAATCTCTAGCTTGCATCCATAGCACCCCCTTGACTAAACATATAATTTCATTGCTAAGTAAGTTTAGACTTTTCCCATGCCCCTATTCCTTTGGATTTTTTTTTTTTTTTTGGTACTAGGAATTCAACTCAGCAGCTTGCACTTGCCAGGCAGGCTCTGTGCCACTGAGCTGTATCCCCAGCCCCACGTCTGTATTTCTATCTTAGCTACTATAAAGAATTAAAAACAAAGCAAATCCATTTTCTCCTTGGCATTACTATTTTTCCTTTAACAGTCCTACTGGACTGTAGGTATTTTGAGAACAAGACATGTCTTATTTTTATAAACTCTACAGCACTTCACACTGTACTCCAATACTATTGAATGGAAAAATTAATAGATGAATAAATCTGTTCCTAGGGATCGGCTGTAAGTAGACAACCTTCTAGGATTTCTAAGACTCTTGGAAAAGTCAATATAGTCAGTGCTTTCATATCATTTCACTTTATGAGTGCAGGTCAACTTAGTTGCAAGGAGAGTTAGGGTAGAGAGTTCCCATTTTACTCTTTTTGGTACCGGGAATCAAACTCTTGACCTCGCATTTGCTAGCCAGGTGGTGTGCCACTGAGCTATACCCCGGCCCCCCATTTTACTCTTGATCAAGTCAGCAGTACTAGCAGTTGAACCATGCAGCCATAGCTCATATTGATTTCCACTGCTAAACAGTGCCACTCACCTGATCTGAAGCCAAGCAAGCATAGGGGTCGTCCCTCCTCCGAACACCCAGACAGTAAAGAATACCAGGAGCAGCGTGGTTGTAAACATCATCTGTTTGGGCTGAGATTCTGTGTTCCGAATAGCTAAGGCAAATGCGATTGCTCCCCTCAGACCTTGCAAGGACACCAAAAAGAGAAAATGAATGTTTTACATACTTCCTTCTTTTCAATGTATTTAACCTTACAATTTACTAACACAATTACTTTTTAATTAAACTTTCTGTTTGAAGATAATTATAGATTCACATGGAGTTGTAAGAAATAATAGAGATATGAAATACCTTTTCCTCTGCTTCTCCCAGTGATACTGTCTTGTAAAGCAGTAACATAATATCTCAACCAGAATATTGACATGAAAATGCAGAGCAATTCCATCACCTCAAGGACTCCTCCAAAAATTATCTTGTTATTATCATACCCACTCTTCTCCCACGCACACACCATCCTTAACTCTTGCACCAGTAATGTGCTATCCATGTCTATGAGTTTTTCATTTCAGGGTTGCTATATGAATCAAATTCTACTGTATGGAACCTTTTGGAATTGCCTTTTTTCCCCCCACTCAGCATAATTCTCCAGGTATTCAGGTCCCTGAATTTATCAATAGTGTGTTCTTCCATGGTATGGATGTTCTGTAGCTGGGTTCACCACCTATCTGTTGAAGGACATCTGGACCATTTCCAGCTTCTGGCTACTTTAAATGAGACTGCTAAAACTTGCATGCAGGTTTTTGTACAAATGTAAGTTTATATTTCTCTTAGAGAAATGCCCAGAAGTACAATTACTGAGTAATATAGCATTTGCATGTTTAGTTAAAAAAATTATCAAACTTCTTTCCAGAGTGGCTGTACCATCTTACACACCCAGAGCAACATAAAAATCATCCAGTTTCTTTGGCTTCTTGTTATATTTGGTGTTGTTACTATGTTTTAGTTTTATCATCTAATAGAGAGGTGGTGATAGTTCGCTGTGGCTTTAATTTCCATTTTCCAATGGCTGGAGGTGTTGAAAATTTTTAATATTAACTCATTATCTGTATACTCTCTCTGTTGAAATGGGTCTGCACATCTTTATCCCATGTAAAAAATTGGATTGTTGGATTTTTCCATTGCTGTTTTGAAAGTTCTTTATTACAGAGATTAATTAGCCTTTTGTTGGATACATGGCTTGCAAATATTTTCTTCCACCCTAGCTTTTCTTTTTACTGTCTTAAGATTCAAAGATTTTCCACTATGTCTTCTAAGAGTTTTATAATTTTACATTTAAATCCACATTCATTTTGAGTTAACTTTTGTATGAACTGAGAGGTTTAGGTAGGTCTTTATTTTATTGTGTTTTATGTTATTGCCTATGGATATCTACTAGTTTCCTTAAGTTGTTTCTGGACCTTGTCAAAAATGAGGTAAATATGTTTGTGTGGGTAAATTTCTGAATGCTTCATTTAGTTTCATTGATCTATGTGTCTACTCTTTCCCCAATAAGCACATTTGCTCAATTTTTATAGCTACATAGTAAGCTTCAGTGTTGGGTAGTGTGATGCTTCTACCTTGCTTTTTTGCTTTTGAAACTGTAGCTATTCTAGTTTTTGTGCCTTTACATAAAACTTTAGAATAATGTTATATATACCTATAAAAAAATCTTCCTGGGAACAACCAGACATGTCAAGCAAGAATGTTAATTACATAACATTTAAAAGCTATTCCAGATGGCAGACATACCTTTATAATCTCTGTGATTATAAACTCACCTATTAAAACCTGGTTTTTCCTTGTTTTGCCTTTTTCTTCCTAATAACCATATGCTAATTGAATTTTTATGACTCCATATTAAATACATTTGTAAGTGGTAGTACAGATTAAATGCGAGGACTTTAAAGTGTGATGACATTAATAAAAATAGAAACGTATACTTTGAAGAAGAATAAATAGAAGCACAGGTAAGAAAGGAAAGGAGGTAAAGTGGAAGGTTTCTCCTGGGTAACCCAAACTTTGCATGACATTTATAGCCCTTATCATATTGTGTAACAGGACAAAGAAATGTTTATAATGACAGCAAGTATAAATCAAAGAGGTAATTACTTGCTTTTATAGGAAGGTTTAGAGCAGATACAAAAAATTTCAGCAAACCGCTTTTTATGTTTACTGTCGCCCTAGGTTTCCAAATTTCTAAGTCTATTCATACTTTAAAAACAGTCGTAAAAGTTAGATACATAGCAGGATGAAGAAGATTATAATCATCCTGTTTTTTGTGTCTATGCTCCCCACTTAGGATATAACGCTTTTTTCTTATCTCCGTGCTGAGAATGTACAAGAGACAGTGGCATAACACAAGATCCAGAGGATTAGACTAGAGAGATTTAATACATTTTGCCTGAAACAAGGGAGCTTCAGAAAGAGAGAGGAACATGCATTCTGATTATAAAATACCTTCAAGGAAAAAAGTGTAATGGAAGAAGGAAATTATTCTAAATCTCCATGTAGACAAGGAAATGGCCTGAAGGTAAGGGAGATAACATTTGAAGTAGATATTAATAAGAAAAAGTTCTTATACAACAGAAATTCTGAACGCTTAAGGTGGCTGTACTCAAGAGCAGTGCCCCCTCCACAGGTATTCATGCATTCAGACCCTGCAGAGGGTGAGAGGGTGGGGATATTAATAACCCGGAACACTGGGGACTATTTTTATAATGTTCTTTTCAGGAAATACAAACGGTGTCATTAGGGAATGAGAACTCAAGGAAACAGTCTTGCAACAGACTCCTGCATCTCAGGAGAGGATTAATAGGTGAAGGTAAAGCCCCCGGCAGTGTTTAATCACAGTGCAAACCTGGAGATAGGAGATAATCTTTTCATTTTCTCTCTTCCTGAAGCTCAGATTGCTAGAAATGTCCAGAAAGCAGCACACCTGCAAGTTAGGTGAGTTTAGAGGCACCAGAGGAAGAGTAGATAAGTATTTGTTTTTCTTGCTATCGATACTCATAGTTTGTTTTTTTTTGGAGTTTTTATGAGAAAGAAAAGATTAGAAAATAGAATATGGATTAAAACAAGTTAGATGCTTACTGTAAACTCATGCTGGATATTAAGGGCAAGGTACTAAGCAATCATTAATCTTCCTAAGTATGCTTAATAATGTATTGTTATTATACTAAACTAGTATAATTAGGCTCACAAATCTAAATTATCTATGCACGAGCAGTTCGTGGCTTAAAAGTATACTCAAAATACATCTGTTAGTCTGACTTCTAAAAATACATGCGTTCTACCAACTAAAACCTGTATTTCTAGGAGGCGCAACGCAGAGATTTCTGAAATACATGGAAAAATACAGGGAACAGTTTTGTGGCAAGTGATGAGACATTGATAATTAGAGCCGAACTCTAAGATGTTGTCAGGAGCATGACTTCTGAATACAATGGCCAACTGGGAGAACTCAGAAATGGTGTTTGGAGAAGAGGTCACCTGCCCATAGCCGGGGCATACAGGGCACATAGAGCATCTGCCACAAGTGAGGTGGTGTGACAGTTTTAGGCTCATGGAAAAGAGACCCAGTGAGCTGCTGGGTGGAGAAAGGGAAATTAATTTAGAATTCCGGTTAAGAACAATGGCCTACTTCCTGCCCATCCTTTATGACTCTACAAGTGGCTCACCACACACTCGGAGCCTAGGCAGGTGTCAAATCAATAACCATTCACTGCTTCATTCAGTACATATGTACTGATTACCTGCTCTGTGGCAGCTTTGTGCATACTGATCCTATTTTCTTTTTTTTGTTTTGTTTTGTGTTTTGGTTTTTTTTTCCGGTTTTTTTTCGGTTTTTCTCCGGTACCGGGAACCGAACTCACGACCTTGCGCTTGCCAGGCAGGCGCTTTTGCCGCTGAGCTAAATCCCCAGCCCATATTTTCTTAATACTATGGATTTAGGTGATAGAAAATTTTAGAATTGAAACAAATTACTGGGCTACTAGTGAAACATTTACAAGTGCAATACTGATACTGATTTATGATTTTCTTTCCAGTAGAACATTTCCAAAGAACATGAACCATTTTACCCAGAAACTCAGAAGACAGAATTTATCAAAACTTGTGTTTTATTTTGTTTTCCAGATACTTTGACCCTTTTGTTTACCTTTCTTTTTCTCTTTGTTTTGGCCAACTAATCAAAGTCGTTCTGTATTTCTGAGAGTTGGTAAGCTATAATATTTCCATTTAAGTGGGTTTACTTTGTAGAGATTTTGATATATTTTATATTCCCAGTTGGAAAGTCAGCATCATCTTGGGGAATAAAGGAAATACCTACAATTAAATGTGGCTTCATTTAAAATTGTACTCTAAGGATTTCTTATGTTAATTATGTGGATGTTCTATTCATAACGACAGAAGATGTTGAACGGAGGAAAGCTTTGTAGCAAAGACCTCTGCTGCAAACAATGCAAACCTTCCTGTTTCAAGAGCAAAAGTGAAGCTTTTAATCAACTGCAAATTTGCAAATGGATTTTGAATGCATGAAGGTAAGCATATATATGAATATAAACACCTCACCTGTTAGGGCATCCTTATTTAAGGTGAAAAATAGTAGAGCAATGCTATGAACATTTTTTTTTATGTACCAGGAATTGAACTCAGGACCTTGCACTTGCCAGGCGGGCTCTTATGCCATTCAGCTATATCCCCAGCCCTACAAACATTTCTTGAGCACTCACTAAGTGCTAAACTTTGTCCAAGACACAGAGAGGGAGTGCAACAATGAGGAATGCTGGGCTCTTTTATCCTCCTTTATCCTGGGGCCCATAGCCCTGCAGAAATGACTCTCTTAAAAGACAAACTACTATTGGGCGTATTAGAGGTGCAAAGGAGGATGCTTTGGAAATATGGACTAATGAAGAAGAAGGTAAATTATTTTGCCTCATGAAGGCTATCTTAGCTACTTTTCTTGTTGCTGGGATGGGTAGGAAGTGGGCCAATACCTGACACCGAAAGTTAAAGGGAGGAAAGGTTTATTTTAGCTCACAGTTTCTAGAGGTTTTAGTTCATAGCTGGCTGGCTCCAAGGCAGGGTGGCCTGGCAGAGGGGCATTGCAGAGGACAAACAGCTCATGGCAGGCAGCAAAGCAGAGAA